CTCCCTCCCTCCCTCCCTCCCTCCACCCGCATCATCCAGTGCAGCCATGTGGACTAAGTAGGAAACACAGGCATTTCTCCTGGGCTTTGTATGAGGTCATCTGATGGGCCCTGAGCTTTTCCACTTCCTCCCTTGTGAGAAGGACTCCAGAGGCGTGTCCCTTCTGGCAGAGAAGGGAGGTCAAGGCAGAACTTGGCCAAAAGAGAAGGGAGCGGCACCTCCAGCAGGAACCATGGTTCCCCTTCAACAGGAAACCTGCAGACCTGGCAGGAATTGTTGATAAAGTCTGAGTAGTTTGGCCCATACAGCCTCCATGCCAGACAGTCTCTAGTCCAGACTGGTATCTGATTCAATCGTTGGCATCAGTAGCAGCACCCAATGTTTGAAACACCAAAAAAAAAAAACACCTTTCAAAAGAGGGCTTTGCATCAGGCCCGTAAGCTAGAAAACTTTCAGTGGGGGGGAACCAGGGGAACTGTTGGGGTGTGGCGTCACTTAATTAAAAATACAAAAACACAAAAACAATAAATGCACACCAGCAGAGAATAAAATAAAAGGGCTCACTCACTCACTTCACTGAGGCTTTACTGCTCGCCTGAGGCTTTAAGACCTGAACCGATTTACCACAAACCGCTGCTCCGCCCTCGCTCTTCCCTTTCCCCCGATTGTATGCGTCAATTTCCCACTATTTGTTGCGCGGCCACATTTTGACCTGCAGCTTCGCCCGATTTCCCCCGCGTCTTCTCAATCCTGTTTTTTGAGGATTGAGAAGACGTGGGGGAAATGGGGCGAAGCTGCGGGTCAAAATGTGGCCACGCAGCAAATAGTGGGAAATTGACGCATACAATCGGGGGAAAGGGAAGAGCAAGGGCGGACCAGTGGCTTGTGGGAAATCAGTCCTGCTTTCAGACCTGACTTCAAACTTCTCCAGCAACCCCCTCTGGCCATATCCTGGCCGCCGGGAACTGTGTGCACAGAATCTCTCAGCAGCAGCAGCACCAAGGCAGCTCCCACCCCCCGCGGCCCGGCAAGCAAAGGCAAAGCTCTGGCCAGCAAAGCAGCATGAATTATTAAATGAAAAAAATACCAAAAAATAATTTAAAAATACAATTTTAAAGCATGGATACATATGGGTGTGGCTTTATATTAAGAGGGCGTGGCCCCAAGATGCACCACTGTCGCTATGGGCCCGCTTGGCACTGTGTGATGTAATCCTAGAGGGGTTGGAACATCCTTCCGATCTTCTAAACATTTTGCCACTTAAGGATCAATCTAGGCTACTGAAACCAGAATGTTCTGAAATAAAGTCCTTCAGGACCTGGCAAGAGGGCCCGGGGGCCAGATTTCAGGCTGCTGCTGCTTCTGGGGCGCCCAACAAAACCCCAGATTACTGGTGCTCATAGCTGGACTTGGCGGGCTACTTACAAAAGTCAGTGTTGACAATGCTCCCATGAAGCAGACCACAATGAAACAGAGCACAAACAGCTCCCGGCGCTTGCCCCAGACGTGTGGGAATTCATCCAGGACGGCAGTGATCACTCCTTCGAGGCCTGCAAACTGAGAAAGCACACCCAGGAGTCATTGAAGGGAAGTGGAAGTCAGCACTCACTCCTCTTCCCAGAGTTCTTGAAGCAGGCAAGGGATACCCATGCAACCTGGAGAGAAAACGAGGCCTCCACTCCCCGGCCCTCAGAATCAGTCCACGCTGAGCGCCCCCCCTCCCCCCCCACACACGCTGCCTTTCTACAGCCCTTCTGTTGCCAGCAAGGGTGCCTCCTTACCGTGCTGTCCAAGCCAAGCGTGATCAACATCAGGAAGAATATAATGGCAAAGAAAGTAGAGGCAGGCATGTTGGCAATGGCTTCTGCGTAGGTGATGAAGAGGAGGCTGGGTCCTGCCAACCAACAGCGAGATCATGCTTAGAAGAGACTACAGATCTGCCCCCACCCCCCGCTTTTCGAACAGCGGTTATGTGGTGCCCCAAGGAAGGGAACAGAGCTAGCCTAACTGGGCATCTGCCAAAGGCTGCTGTTGCCAGTCAGCGTCTCCCCCCCCCCCCCCCCCCCCCCCCCCCCCCCCCCCGGCCGCCATGCCTCGGATCAGGGGCCTTTGGGGTGGTTTTATGTGGGCACAGGCTTGCATCATGTCTGGTGGAAAGTGCTGCCAAACCACAGCTGACTTACGGTGTCCTTCTAGGGATTTCAAGGCAAGAGACGGTCAGAGATGGTTTGGCCGCTGCCTGCCTCTGCAGAGCAACCCTAGACTTCCTTGGTGGTCTCCCATCCATGTACTCACCGAGGTCTGACAATATTGGGCCATCCAGGTCAGAGTGCTGCTCCAGGTGGAAGTCGTGAACCGCAGTACGTGGCTGTGTGCCAACGGGTGATCCTCCATTAGTCACGGCCCTTCCCTGGCTCATTGGCTGGCCTTCCCTATCCTTTGGGTTGCCTCTGCCTTTTGCTGGAAGGCACCAGCTAGCCATGCTCAGTGGCAGGACCTAACCAGCTGGAAAGAGGACAGCTGCTGGTCTAAGCCAGGATGGTGCTTGGCCATCTTTTGGCTCTTGGCCTCCAACTGGGTTGATTTACAAGTAGGGAGACGGGACCACCTGCCCAGACAGTGTTCCACAGCTATGCTTTTCCGGATATCCTAATATATCACGATGCCCTGCAAATATTTCTGTCTTGCCTGTCGGTCCTTGCAGGACCTCGGTAGCGCCAGTTCTATTGGGAGGCAGAAGCTGTGCAGGATCCAGCTGCCTGCTTCAAGGAGGCATGGATGGTGAATGGCAACCAGAGGCCAAGAGGATGTTTCTGTGCCTTCTCATCTGTACACAGAAAGGCAGCTCTGCCTGACAGCCAGTAGCCACATTCACAATGGCCAGGCTGAGTTTCTTTGGGTGCAAGAAGCCCTCCATAGGGGTAGAGAGCAGTGGCCACCTGAGCATTCCACTGAGAAATGGGGGGGGGGGGACAAAAGGAATGGGTTACCTACCGGCATCTTTGGCAACCTCCGAGACCTCTTCGTGCCTCATCTCGGCCATGTATCCAAGCACGGTGAAGATGACAAATCCAGACATGAAACTTGTCATGCAGTTCACAGCACTGGTGACCAAAGCATCCCTGCAGCAAAAGCAAAATGGCCCTGCTGAGAATGGGAGAGGTCCCCAGTGCATTCCCCCCCCAAGCAGCAATAGGCTGACTGCTGCCCCTGGAAGTGAGTTTCATGTTTGGGATCACTGGAGGGGGGGGGGGGATTAGTGTCCTGTGAGTTACTTCCCATTGGGGAGGGGGGGTTGCTGCTGGGTCCTATAAAGTTGGGTCAACGTTTTGTCAATGAACAGACTTGAACAAAAAATTCTATCCTGCCTAAAGGAAAGCAATAGTAAAAACTCTTCGAGATTTTTCTCCCAGTAAGAAAAAGAGTGTCAACAGTCCTGTCAGGGGTGCCTTCCACCTTAGGTGAGGGTTGCCAGCCGTGGACTGGGAAATGTATGGCGATTTGAGGAGGGAGTCTGAGATGGGGTGGGGTTTGGGAAGGGAAGGGACCTCAGTAGAGTATAATGCCTTAGAGCCCACTCTCCAAACCCGCCATTTTCCACAGGGAAACTGACCTCTGTTATCTGGAGATCAGGTGTAATTCCAGAAGGTCTCCAGGTCCCACAACTTTAATGCCAGTAGCTCACAAAGTAGAATTTTTGCACACAAGACTCCACAGCTTAGAGGGAGCATTGCTCCTGACCAGTGTTCCCTCTCAGCTGAGTTAGTGTGAGGATTTTTTAGCCTCCAGCTCTCACATTTCCGTCTTCTCTCAGGAAGGATAGCTCCAGAGCAATGTTCCCTCTAAGCTGTGGAGTCTTGTGAGCAAAAAATCTACTTTGTGAGCTACTGGCATTAAAGTTGTGAGTGAGCGATTTGGCTACTGCATAAATTTGTTTGCTCTGGAGCCATTCTTCCTGAGCTAAGACAAAAATGTGTGAGCTGGAGGCTAAAAAACTGTGAGCTAGCTCACACTAACTCAGCTTAGAGGGAACACTGCTCCAGAGCAAACTAATTTGTGCAGTAGCCAAATCGCTTGCTCACAACTTTAATGCCAGGAGCTCACAAAGTAGCATTTTTGCTCACAGGACTCCACAGCTTAGAGGGAGCATTGCTTTATGGACCAGGTCACCCCCATCTAAAGGAACCCTAACCCAGGGATTGTTGCTCCTGGAACTTACTATTTATTTAAAATATTTAATAGCTTGTATCTGAACCTGAAACCATATCTAATTTTGGGGGGAAGTGGTTATTTTATGTGCCGTGACAGACATCTGTGCAACATTTCCCAGCCTTGGAGAACATGGAGACCCATGTGTGCACCAGAGCCCCTGTGGAGCTATCACACTCCTGGCTATACTCTTCTGCTCAGTCGTGTTGGGGACTGTGTAGTGAACTCACTGGTAGCAGTTGTTATGAAACTTGTTGTAGCTCGCAAAGGCAAGGAGAACCCCAAATCCTGGTCCGAGAGAGAAGAAAATTTGAGCCGCTGCGTCCACCCACACCTGAGAAACAGTCAAAACACAGGAAGCCATTACAGAAAGCCACACTACAGCTTTGGGTTCAGAAGGTCAACCTCTGCTCCAGCTTGTGTCTTAGCCCCTTTTGTATCTCCGGAGCTTGCACCATTTTCCCTGTCTGATCCAGCTTGAGATGCCTGCTTTGCAGCAGAGGCCAAAAACAGAGAGGGAAAAGAAGGTCAGCACCTGCCAACAGCTAATTAATGCATTAATAATCGTATGGCATTGTGTGCAGTATAGCCGGGAGATCCTAAGACTGGCTGGCAGCCGGAAGTTCTAGCTCTTTTAGCATTATGCACCACTAGAAGAAGAAGAAGAGATGTGATTTATACCCTGCCCTTCACTACCCAAAGGAGTCTCAGAGTGGCTTACAATCCCCTTTCCCTTCCCCTCCCCACAACAGGCACCCTGTGGGGTAGGGGCTGAGAGAGCTCTGACAGAAACTGCTCTTTTTTAAGAACGCCTCTGACAGAACTATGGCTTGCCCAAGGTCATCCAGCAGGTGCAAGTGGAGGAGTGGGGAATCAAACCCGATTCTCCCAGATTAGAGTCCACACACTTAACCACTACACCAAACTGGCTCACTAGGTGGTGAGCCTACAGCTTCCCAACACCCATGCCTGTCCTTATGCACCTCTTCCAACCCTTCCCACCATTAATCTTCCCCTGCCACATGGGCGGCCTGACCCTGATTGCCATGTTTCCCCCCGATCATGCACAGATACGAGTGCAGAACCCTTTCTGCCTGAGGAAAAGTGAACTGCCAGCTTGCTCAGAAAACATTCCCTGGGATCTAAACAACTGGGCAGCCACCTGCATGAGTCCAAATGGGTGTTGAGGCTGGCTTCTCGCACGACAGCCTCTTCCCCCAATGCAGATGTACGGCTGAGGGTATGGTAAGGGGTGCATCCATCAAAATCCCATTGCCTTTGGGGGTTCCTGAAGACACTCTGCCTCCCAGCCTTTGTTTTACATATTCAGTTACTTCCATAACCCAAAGCCCTCTGGACTGCACATGAACGGCTGCCCAGCCCTGAGGATCGTTCTCCCCATTTCTAACAAGCTGCAGCATGCAGAGGCTTCACGGACGGGCAGGCAACACAAAGATTGCAATCTGCTCTCTTCTCTGTCCAGATACATTCAATACAATATCAACACCCTTTATTACTTTTAGGGGCCTTATTGAAGATGTGGCTTTATCAGAGAACTGCGTGTCTTCATTTCCTCTTCTTTGAACTCCCTCGTATCAGCTGGGAGGCTGCTGGCTGGCAGATATTACAACCTGTAATCTCAGTATTAGGTGCTTTTTATTATTTAAAGGACTACGATCTCCTCCTCCCCCATCCGAGACTTTCATAACTATTCAGGGACATGGACCACTTGCACATGGCACGTGTTTCTTGCAGGTTAGGGCTCAGGTGAATTGAACTGAGCCCTAGCTGAATCACAGTGTCTCCAATGGAAATGTCTGCAAAAATGTTTGCACAATGCAGGCACTTTGGTGAAGATAAAGAAAGACGAGGGAGAGTGCTCTGGTGTCAGTCACTAAAAGCAGAGTGTCAGTGATATAGTTTAAAGCTCAGGGAGGGGTGGTCAGGTTGGTCTGGGTCACCCCAAAAAACTGGAAAACGGAGTAGCTCGGTTAAAAAACCAAGTGTGCTTTTGAGAGGTGACTTTGCCATGCAACATTTCAAAAGTCCATCAGTTGTTCTGCTTTGTCCTTACCTCGGTGTCCAGAAGTTTATGCCACTGGGGCTTTAGATAGTAGAGCACCCCTCTCCATGCACCAGGCAGAGTCGCGCCCCGTATTAACAGGATAAAGAGTACGGCGTACGGAAATGTGGCAGTCACCCACACAACCTATTTGAAGAATAGGAGACAGTGTTTGCCAAGGAAAACAGCTGATGACAGTGTTGCAAATAATGCTCTAAATTAACATGGAAAGTTTCCACTTGCATCCAGTTCACCATCTGGGCCTCCTCTGACAGATGGGGAGGGGCTGTGGCTCAGTGGTAGAGCATCTGCTAAGTTGGCACGCAGAAGGTCCCAGGTTCAGTCTCCAGTTAAAGAGGACCAGGGCAGCAGGTGATGTGAAATACCTCTCTCTCTGAAACCCTAAAGAGCCACTGCCAGACTCAATAGACAATATGGCGCTTCATGGGCTGATTCAGTATAAGGCAGCTTCACATGTTCGTGTGTGTTCATGGCCCTGCCTACCCTCCACAGCCTGGAGGACAGGACTTGCATCCCCATGATCCCCTCCACTGGCTGGACACAAGGCGGGGACTTGTTTTAAACGCTGTTATTTTTTTATTCCTCCCTTTTGATTGTTGGGTTGCAATGCTGACTTTTCACACACTCAGCACATGCAAGTGTGTTGCATTGCTCGTGGACTTGCCAGGAGAAAAGTGAGGGATCCCAGGTTCAGCGCTGCAGGCACAGCTTGCAGACTGAGCCCCACACCTGCTCACTGTCTGTCAAGGGAGGCAGCTCCGAGCCACCCCATGCAAATGCGAAACTGCGTGGTGCACAATGGAGTATGCACAGGTTCTGCTGCAGGACGGCGGCTGGCACAGATTTCGAGTCCTCTCCTGTTTTACTGGTTCCCAAAAGTCCTCAATGGGAGGGCGTAGAGAGCTGGGGCTCTTGTCCCTCCTCTCTGCAAACTGGCTCTATGTTCAGTGCCAGGTGCCTGCCTTCCACCACCAGGAGGCGGTTCAGGACTTCCTGAGTCCAAGCTTCCTTTCCTGCTGTCTCCTTTAGGGTAGGCAGGGGCCCATGGCCAGGTAGCCGGCAGCTGAGGTTTCATGTTTGGTTTAAGGTGTGCTGAATTGTTGTGTACTAAGGATGAGTCCACCCTAAACTAGCCCTGGGGTCGGGTTGAGCTTGCCTCCATAAACAATAGTTGGCTAGGATCCTAGAATAGACCAATAGAGAAACAATGTTATGTAAATAGCCTATTGTTGGGAGTGGGGTATGTTCGGGATGTGGTTTTCTGCATGCTTAAAAAACGAGGCTTCTGCCTGGGATTTCAGTCTTCCCTCTCCTTGCTGAAATCATTAATAAAGTAGAGCTGATCACTGTACTTGGGGTCTGGTCATCCATGGAACCCACTATTTAACATGAATCTTCACGGCTGGCACTTGACAAACTCTGCATCTGGAAGAGTCCTACCTGGCAGAGCTTGGAAGAGAGGACAGAGCCATTGGCTGGCTTGTAGCCAGAATAACCAGCTGCAGTCTTGGACGAAATTGCTCCATTGAAACGCAAACTAGACATGATGATGGGAGATCCACGAATGGCCTTCCTGAAGTTTATTCCAGCCTTGATAAGCAGCTGGGGGTAGGAGTGTGGACTGGGGCAATGGCATAAAGGGAACAGGTTCAACCCCCCCCCCCTCTATTTTCCCACCCTCTGACAAATGTTTAGAAAATGGCCATAAAAAACCCATCTTTAAAAGAACATTTTGCATTCTGGCCGCGAGACTCCATCCTTCCCATAACTCCTCCTCCTGCTGTTGGCCTTACTCTTCACCTTGCCAGAGGTTTTCACCCCTTTCCAGATGCTGAAGTACACAACGGTGAAGATGAGCAGCAAGCAGAGGGTGAGCTGCCAGCTGATCCCTCCCAAGTCATCCAAGCCATTGGCTCTGTGTATCTGCAGGATATGGCGGCTGAAATGGAAAGAGGCTTGAGTCAGAGACGTGGGGTCTGAAAGGAAGGGAGGGGGGCTGGCAGGGGACCTGTCAGCAAGCTGATGGTGTAGTTCAATCAGTTCCTCTGAAGGGTCCAGAAAATGAGGAGAAGGGAGAAGGACGGCTGGCATCCAAGCTGTCCACCTCACAGAATGATTTGGCATGGCGTGAAAAGGTGGCAGATGGCTAACCTCCGGCAGACTTGTCAGTGGGGCCAAAAGGAATGCAAAGAAAGGGAACTGGTGCTTCATTTTGACATGCCTCCCTCCTGCCCCTTAGGAGCAGTGGGGACACACCTCAAAAGATTTCCCATTATGGAGCACAACAGCATGGTCTCACTGAAAGTCTCTGTTCTGTGCCTCTGGATTAGGAAAGAGGCGAGCCCAGAGCAGGGACTCAGCAAGAGACCTATTCAAAGGGCAGCTCATTTTCTGGTATCTCTGCAAGCTCCGATGTCACCTGATGGCAAGATGGGGAAGAATTACCACCTTATTTGAAGGCTGATGGGAAGCAGGCCAGAGCAGAGACTCATGCAGACATCCAGCGAGCATCCTCATCTAAGAGAACGTGCCCTGAGCCCTGTAATTTTTGCATGTATCTATTTCAGTACTTGAGTTTGTCCAGTACTGAGCTTTTGCAAACTGTTAAAGTAAGACAGTGCAGATTTGAGTTCAAAGGTTACTGCAAAGGGGACCAGTGAGATCGGAAAGGGCAGTTGATCACGGGGAAGTTGCCCAGTGGTTTGGAATAATTATGGTCATCTTGAAATGCTGTGGTCTGGAAGCCCCAAACTCCATGCAGGAGAAAGTCTTTAAATAAAATAAAAGTCTAGTGGCTAGGATTGTCGACTACAGGTTGGGAAATTCATGGAAATTTGGGGGTGGAGCTTGGGAAGGCTTTGGGGAGAGGAGGACCCTCAGCAGGGTATAATGCCATAGGTTCTCACCCGTAGCTACAGTGGGGCTATTAGGGAGCTCTGCCCCCTTGCTTAAAGGGCCACCCCCTTCCTTAAAGGCTCTTCTTCTTAAAGGCCCCCCACTTCTTCCCAAAAGCATTTAAAGGGATCCTTCAAATTGTTTTTGGACGAAGCGAGGGGGTGCACACCTCTCTCCCTCCCTCCTGCAAGATTTAAAGGGCCCTCCAGCTGATCAGCAGGCCACATGCTCCCCGCTGATCAGCTGAAGAGCCCTTTACATCTTTCAAGGGGGGAGGGAGAGGGACGCGTGTGCCACCCACTTCATTAATTATGGCAAATGATGGCAGCCCCACCAGAACATTTTTTGCCCCATAAGCCACAAAATCCTGGCTATGGGCCTGCATTGGCTTCAGCATGCAAAGCAGTTGTGCCCACCAGGGGAACTGAGCTGTGTAGTCTGGAGATGAGTTGTAATTCCAGGGGATCCCCAAGTCCCACCTGGAGGCTGACAACCCGACCAGTGGCACCTTAAAGATGAACACTCTGTTTCACAGCTCAGGCCGAGGGGCAGCAACTCCACACTGTTCCCAGGGGACATGCTGACCTTAGAGGAAGCTGCAAAAGGATTTGCCAACAGGTGATTTTATGGGTGGAATGGAAACCCTGGGCCCCCAACTCATGTCCCCATAGGGCCCTGCTGACCAGCCTACAAGGCCCATCATGCTGGCCCCAGAGGCTTACCAACCCCCTCCTCCTGTAAGGCCTCCTTCCCCACACCCCACCTTTTCTGACACGGCCGCTTCCACTTACATGCACTTACGTGTAAAATTCTTCCGCAGGGGAGGTGGAGTTCTGGGTCCAGGCAATGGTCTCGTTGGAGAAGTAGTTGGTGCAGCTCTCCGTGTTCCACGGGTTGGTGCAGCTGGTCCAGGGCAGCTCCTCCTTGAAGGAGGAAATGAGGTAGTACAAAGCCCAAGCCATGATAGTGTTGTAATAGGAGGCGATGTAGAAAGCTATGATGCAGATGGCATAGCCAATTCCTGGGGAGAGATGGGAAAACCCAAGATAAGGACAGAAGCCAGCGTGAACATGGCATACTCCAGTCCTCTGTCTTGTGGTGTCCATGGGGGCTCCCTCCTCCTCGTCCTCCTCCTCTTACGATTACCTTTAAAAATGGGGCAAATTTTCCTCCACACTGAGATGCATCCATTGCGGTGATACTGCCCCAGGGCCAGTTCCATGTAGAAGAGAGGGATCCCCCCGAAGATCGCCATGAGTGTGTATGGGATGAGGAAGGCCCCTGCAGTGAAAGAAGCCCTGTTAAACTCAGCACAGAGAAAAGGCAAAGAGATGGCAGGTGGGAACATGGTAGCCAACATCCAGGGGTGGCCCGGAGATAGAGTTGCCAGTTCTGGGTTGGGAAATGCCTGGAGGTTTGGCAGGCTGAGCCTGGGCAACCTGGGGTTTGGGGAGGGGAGGCCCCTTGCCAGTATATAGTTCCATAGAGTCTACCCTCCGTAGCAGTCACTTTCTCCAGGCAAACTGATCTTAATCATCTGGAGATTGATTGTAATGGCAGGAGTTCGCCAGGTGCCACCTGGAGGTTGGAAACCCAACCTGGAGATCTTCTGGAACGACCATTGATCTCCAGACTACAGAAATCAGTTCCCCCAGAGAAAACAGCTGCTTTGGAGCGATTACATCCCACTGAGGTCCCTCCCTTCCCCAAACCTCAGCCTTCCCGTGCTCCCCGTCCTGAGTTAGCAACCCTAGGTGGAGATAAGGTTGCTAGCTAGGGTTGCCAGCAGTGTTCCCTCTAAGCTGAGTTAGTGTGAGCTAGCTCACAGTTTTTTAGCCTCCAACACACACATTTTTGTCTTAGCTCAGCATGGATGACTCCAAAGCAAATGAATGGATTCAGTAGCCAAATCATTCGCTCACAACTTTAATGTCAGTAGCTCACAAAGTAGAATTTTTGCTCACAAGATTCCGCAGCTTAGAGGGAACATTGGTTGCCAGGTCTGGGTTGGGAAATACCTGGAGACTTCGGGGGTGGATCCAGGAGAGGGCGGGGTTTGGGGAGGGGAGGGGCCTCAGCATGGCACTAGGCCATAGACTCCACCATCCAAAGCAGCCATTTTCTCCAGGGGAGCTGATCTCTGTCAGCTGGAGATCAGTCGTAAAAGTGGGAGATCTCCAGGCCACACCTGGGGGCTGGCAACCCTATTACCAGCTCTGGACTAGGAAATTCCCAGAGATTTGGGGGTGGAGCGCTGGAGCCTGAGGAGGGCATAGTTTGGGAAGGGGGGGGAGGGGGCCTAAGCAGGGATGTGATGCCACAGAGTTCACCCTCTGAACTGGCCATTTTTTCCAGGGAAGCTGATCTCTGTCATCTGGAGATCAGTTGTAATATCTGGAGAACCTCCAGGCCCCTCCTGCATGTTGAGCAAACGTAGAAAAACACCGCGTTAGAACAAAACACGCAATACTACTATGCTACTAATAATATACTTGAATACAATAGAGACCCTAGTGTATCTTATTCATTATACTACAAAAACCTAAAGAACATTATATATCTAGTAGAAAAGTCCACAGCTACAGAGACAGGTTTCAGTGCTGTAGACTATCTTGGTTATGATAAGAGACTGATGAGAGATGCAGTAGTCGCCAATAAGGAAAGATGCAAGCAGGCTGTTATGCTTTCAAAAAAAGAGATACAGCGAGCATCGAAGCGACACGCCTCCTAGGCAAAAAATTGCGTGTTTCGAGAGAGTCGTCTTTAGGCAAAATTATTTTTCCTGGAACCAAAGCTCACAATGCTACAATGCACAAGTCAACAATTCTATAGAGGGCTTCTCTGGTTCTTGCTGTTGTCTATGCCCTCCTGAATGTTGGCAACACTAGGTTGCCAGCCTTTGCATGATCTCCTTTTCCTACTGAGGATAGCGCGAGGATAGTGCATGTGTGCGTGCTGGACAAAAAAAAGGACCTATCTCTTCCACAGAGACCTCTCCCATACTCTCAGTACAACCCAAATTCAAAATGCAGACCCCCCCCCCAAATATTTCAGCTTTTCTTTCCTGAGTTTCAAACATTTTTAGACCTGAAATCTCCAATTTATACCTGAGTTTTATGGCTGTCTTATTTTATCTCTATGTTATAGTCACAGATTTTTAAATTTAAGTATGCTGCTGTTGATTTTATCCCATATTTCTTATTCAAATGTTTTTTATGTAAAATTACTGAATGCACTGGTCATTGAGTATAACAATAAATTTGATTTGATTTGAAATGTGGCTTTGCACAATACTCATAAACAAAGCAACAAGCTTCCATCTCGGCTCTGGCAGATGCATTATTGTAAAGGCAGGCAGGCCTGCATAGCTTGCAACTGAACAAGAAGTGCAGAGCTCACCAACAGCGACATCCTGATGCTGGCCACATGCCTGGCCGCGGCAGTGACTACCTGTGTTTCCTCAGGCACCTGGCAGGCAAGGTCAAGAGACAGCCGCTGGGCTGTATCCAATTTGTTGCCCCACCAGGTGAGCGGGTCTCTTTCAAGGCTGCCATGCTATTGTTTTTAAAGCATTGGGCACCCCCCGGGGGGGGGGGTACCCTGCCAACATCCATTAATTGGGAATGCAGAAACAAAATTGGGAATATACATGTGAGGTTTTTCCCCCAATCAAATTTCTCTAGTTGTCCAACATCATTTTTGCTTTTCTTCTACTTCTGTGCTTGGAGTCACAATAGTTTTCAGTAGGGAGAACAGATTATAGCTCACCTCGATGCCCTTCCCTCCTAGGGACAGATGTAGGATTGCTGGCTTTCAGGTCGAGCCTGGAGACCTCCCAGAATTACAACAGAGACCAGTTCCCCCTGGCGAAAGTGGCCGCTTTGGAGGATGGACTCCGTGGCATTACACCCTGCTGAGGTTCCTCCCCTTCCTGCCATCCCCAGCCGCCACCACCCAGATCTCCAGGTATTTCCCACCCCAGAGCTGGCAACCCTAGACAGACAGGGACTCACCTCCTCCATTTTGATAGCAAATGTAAGGGAATCGCCAGACATTGCCCAGATCTACTGCATAGCCAATAACGGAGAGGAGAAAGTCCATTTTCTTGCTCCAGGTCTCTCTCTCGTCCAGCTCCCTCGGGTGTTGCCGAACTTCTACCCTGCAGGTGGGGGAGGCGGTGGTGGTGGACATTATAGCAGCGCAAGGGACTCCAGCTGAGGCCTCCACCCCGTCTCCTGGGCTTGGGCTCTGAGCCAACGAATACCCATTGGAGATGTGGCTCGTTGCCCCTTTGTCCCCCTGGTTGGGCTGTGCTTTGTGCATGTCCTCTGCCAGGCGCAGGGTAGGTTTGGTGCTCTTGAGGAGATGTCCGTTCTCCGCACAATCGTCTCCTTCTTTACAGTCCCCTTTTTTCGATGTGAGAGGCTGGCTCTCATTGTTCGGGGGTGTCTTCTCCATTCCACCGGTTAAAAGGTGAGGCTTCTGTCCATTTGCAAGTGGCCGACGCAAGGACCACCGTTTGCCGATAGATTTCTTGCGAGTTTCTCAGCGTCAGCTGTGTGGCTCCAGGCTTTATGTCCACTCCACTGGGTTCTTGGGGAAATGTGCTGCTTAAAACTGGAGAAGAAAATTAAAATCGATTACGAGGAGCAAGTGCTGGGGTGGAAGAGATGTCCCAAGATATTTTGGTGCCTGAACCAGAAACTGGTGTGAGAAACTTCAGAGTTGACAATTTGCTGTCTTATAATGGGACCCCAATATCCATCTCCCCCTGTCTAATGGCAAGGCCAGCTCAATTTGTTATTATTTTGTTATGTTAGCTATATTAGTAGTGCAGAATATTTGCCTTTGCGCCTGACCCGGAAGCTCCAATGGGTCCAAAATGCAGCCTCGCGGGTCCTCGCTGGGATCCCCCGGACAGCACACATTCAACCAGTGCTGCGCGGGTGGCATTGGCTTCCGGTGGAGCACCAGATCAGGTTCAAGGTTCTGGTGCTGACCTTCAAGGCCCTTAGCAGTCAGGAACCTACATATCTTCGGGACCGCCTCTACCACTATGCCGTGGAAGAGCATTACGCTCAGGAAATAAGAACTTCTTGGGGGTCCCCAGCCCAAGAGAAGTCTGGCTGTCCCCAACCAGGGCCAGGGCTTTTTCAGCCCTGCCCCCTGCCTGGTGGAACACTCTGCCGGAAGACATCCGTGCCCTGTGGGAGTTGTTACCATTCTGCAGGGCATGCAAGGCAAAGATGTTCCGCCAGGCTTTCAGCTGAGGACAGCGACCGGGGGGGGGGGCAGGCACACTCTTACACAAGTCCCCATCCCTTGTAACCCCTCCCCCTAGGGAGGCTGGGGAGTTGGAAACCTTCCGCCATCTTATATATGCTGCGTTGCCGCCATCTTGTCTATGCTGTTTTGTGTATTTGGTATTTATGGGTTCGCGAAGAGTCGGACTCGACTGTGCGACTGAACAACAACAACAAAAATGTATTGGGCTGTTTTAATTTAGTTTTAATCTGAGATTTGTATATTATTTTGTTGTAAGCCGCCCTGAGCCCTACTTGCAGGGAAGGGCGGCCTAGCAAACCTAATCTAATCTAATAAATAAATAAATAATATTGAAAACCTACATTGCCAAGCCTACACTACTAGATTAAAAATATATTTTCCTCCAAATGCAGCTTGTTCACAGCAGTGAATCCAGGAAGCCACCAAGGTTACCCAGATGGACAGCAGTTTGTGTCACAGTTCACGGTTCCAGCCTGGAGCTTGTACTGATCAACTGAAATTGTCCACTACTACAATGCACCCATCTGTTTCCTCATAGTTTTTCCACAGCCACATTGGGAGGTTGATCTCCCTCTACACCGCATGCCACTTTCACTTTCTTTGTTCATTGGGTTTTATGGTACCTTCTGCATATATTTATGGCCATTCAGGGGTGACTTCGCAGTCTCTATTGCGTTGCCCTGGGGTATCTGAATGTGGTTTTGCACTGCATCTTTTCCTTCCTCTGCTTCCGATTTGAAGGGAACGATAAGCAGACAACTTGACACGGCTTCATTTATCTCCATCAGTTCCCCCGCCCCATTTCCCCCTCTGTATTCATCACCTCACCATGAATTACTTGGCTCAAGCGTTGAGGCAAGTACTGACACGGGGAAATCTGCATACCAATACAGGAATGAGCATTGAAAACAAAATAGATGGCAAGCTGACACTAGCCAATACAGAAACCAGGATCCAAGGCAATGCAATGAAAACAGATATTCTGAGGCAAGGGGGAACCAGCTCAAGTGCTGAGAAAATGTGGAGCAAATGCCAGATGCAGAATGGACCCCCAGCACCTTTGGGTTTCCAGTGCCTTGCTGCCATCTACTGTCAAACCCTGCTTCGCCTTGCTTCCCATAGTTTGTCATTAGACGGGAGAGGGCAATTCCTTAGGTGGGGGGAGTGAGGGTGGTGTGTGTGGGTGCTCTATCTTAGATGGCAAAACTTTTTCCTGAAGATGCGTCTCTCCCCGGTTCACAGGGAGACGTCCTTGAAGCTTCCAGTGCCAGCTTGGGTAGTAGATAATGGGATCATATATTCCCATAAGAAGGGGGGGTAGAGACCTGGGAGCCTGGCTGTGTGACGGGACGTATGTGTGAACCTTAGGAGGGATTACAGTTTGAACTTTCTATATCTATGCCTGTACTCACCAGAAAGCTTTAGAACTGACACAGTACTGCTCATGCCTTGAACTTGTTTAACTCAAGCTTTTCACGGCCAAAGACAGTGTGCTTGAGAGTAACTTGGCCAGGGAGTCTGACACCTACCAGTTTTCAATAAGTGGCAATGCTGTTGTTACTTCTACAAAGACACCATAAGAACATAAGAACCACCTTGCTGGTCTAGCATCCTGCCTCACACAGTGGCCACATGGTTACTCCAAAGGGCCAACAACAGGGCATAGAGGCTGAGGCCTTCCCTTTATGTTGTGCCCTTGTATTGGTATTCAGAGCCTTTAGTTCCCTTTGCTACCACAGCTGGCAGCCGCTGCTGGACCTCTCTACCATGCATCCAGTTCTCTTTTAAACGTGTCTCTGCCTGTGCTTCCATCTGGATCATATCTGTGCAGGCTGGAACAAACTATTTTGGCTGTATGGAGTTGCCAGATTTCCAGGTACGGCTTCAAACGAACAAACTGAAAACTGGTGATTTCCTTATAATCAGTAGACACTGTCATAATCATAACCCTCAGACTGATGCTAATTCACACATTGCAAAGGGCACACGGCGGCCATGGAGGCTGTCCACAGATGTGACCTGGGATTTCTGTGATATGGAACTTACTTTCCCACGTGCACGGGGCCTGATTTGGATCAAGGCCAAGGCATGTGTGGAGGTGGGGCTTAAGCTTCCTCCCAAATGGTACTTTCCTGACCTGAAATGGCCCTGGGGAGTTGCTGGTTACTCAGTTGGGGAAACTTACCTATAGTACACATGCAGCCCTTTCGGTACATCTCCTCCCATATTATCCGGGCCACTAGTTAAGATCTGACTCTCAAGCCCTACTCTCTGTACCCCTGCCTTCAGAGTCGAGGTGGCTGGTGACTAAAAACAGGGCATTCTCTGTGGTGGCACCTTGCCTTTGAAGTGCCCTTCCCCTTAAAGCTCACCCGATGCCAACTTTATTATCTTTAATTAGGGTTTTTATCTTTCCGGATTTTTAATGGCCTGCTTCTAGCTTCTGGCTTGTTCTGAATATTGTGATCTGGTTTTTATTGTGAGCTGCATTGCACAGGACTTTGAAAAAGCATTAAATAGATACATACTAAGTTTCCCCAACAGGGCAAATAGTGACTCTCCAGGGCTGTTTCAGGTCAGGAAAATGGGACACAATTACAAATAAATATGTGTAAAATGCTGTTCCAGCCAGAGCAATTATTGCCAGTGATAAGCCCTGTCAAAATGGACAGGAGGGCAGAGGATAAGTCCTTCCTGCTCATCACATGCCATTAAACTATGGAACTCTCCCCCTCAAGATCCTGTTACGAGGGCCTCTGCTAGCATGAGAAAAGGACTGAATGGGTAGCGATTAGCCAGGTCAGGTTCACACGGAATATCTGGATTCAGCAAAAATATACCTCCAGCTAGGGAGGCATATCTGGCTGGTTACTGTCATCAGTGGCCGAAGACTTTTCACATCACCCTCACCATGACAAAATCTTAACATTCTTAAGTCACTCAGATACTATTTAAGTGCTTTTAATCTCCAGCTGTTCTTAAGCCCCCTCCCTCCTCCTTGCAGCACGGAGGCATGCCCACTTGCTCTTTTTATAAATTCAGTGGAACATATCTAGACTGCAGCAGAGAGCGCAGTGTGGTAAATGCTCTCTTTAACCAGTGTGACATAGTGGTTAGAGAGATTCGGACTAGGTTCTGGGAGATCCAGGTTCAAGAACGGTGGAAACATGCAGAGTGACCTGGGGCTAGTCGATCTTTCTCGGCCTGACCCACCTCACAGGGCGGTTTTGGTGTGGGTAAAATAGAGGAGGGGAGAACGGCGATGGGAGTTCCCAGGAGGGAGAAAAGCAGCATAGAAATATTCCAAGACCAGCAGGTCAACTTGCATCTGGAAGGCTTCAGGAGGCTACTGTGGATTGTCAGGGACTTGAGATTGTACTCCACGAGCCCTTTCAGTGAAGAATCTTGCCAAAGGCTGTGGCTAGAGCACGGAACTGTGGCTGGCGAAAGCTGGCTTCAAATTCCCACTAAGCCAAGAAATTCACGGGTCGACCTTCAGCTGCTCCCTCTCAGCCCAGCCCACCTCACGGGGAGAGCTCCCAGCCCACTGGATGAACGCGGGGACAGACATGCAGTTTCGGGACAAAATACAGTGAGCCCCTGCTCGCCAAACAACTAGCAGACTGCCTCCCTCCAGAGTACACATGTGGACACCTCTCCAACACCACCGATCAGAGTATCACAAAGAATCAAGTTGGAGAGCAGGTGACAAGAGGGAGAGGATCCACTCTGAGATCCACAACAGCCATATCAGAAAGGCACATGAGAGGCCTCAACTCTCAGTGGTTCTATCCCCCGGGCTCTCGGCTGTGGGGGGAGACCACAAGCAGAGGGTGGCTGGAAATGTCGGCATAATCCTGAGATTCCTTCTCAGGCAGATTCTTTAGTCCCATAATAATGCAACGTCCCAGGGTGCACACCTTGTCAAACATTTGTTAATCATCAACTTGCCCAGAACCATCTCCAAAGACCCTGAGAGAATCACCACCCAGGATCAGCAGGTCAACTGCTTTCACTTTTACCTGGCAGAACAGCAAAGGTGGGTGTCCCAGGAACCCAGCGGCAGACAGCCTTGAGAAGTGCCCGACCAGACGCCCTTCCTGAGGTCCCTGAACCAGCCCCTGGACTCACAGCTTGGCTGGCGGGGGAAAAATCAATGCATGGTGCAAACA